ACAACGTGTGATACTTGTACTTAAGCGAAAGAAGAAAATTGACGTTTTCCCATCAGTGTGTATTACTTAGCGTGTCGCTGAGCGCAAGACCCGTGAGAATTGTATCTAAAAACAGCATGAGACATCAGCTATCGGACATGTTTTTCAGCAGCTGATAAATAATGGACTCATCAGAGTAGGAGCATATAGACCAGTGAATTTAGGACAACGTAAAGGGAAGTAGCGCTTTTCTCTAACTGACTCCGCCGAATTTTTAAAAATATAATCAAGTAGGCCGCCTACTACGAATCAACCTATCTGGAAGTAATCAGTTATAGCGTTTTCTGTTTGCAAAGAATATCGTTGTCTGGTATGAGCTTCTCTCACAGATGTGGAAAAATTAATAAGTTGCCCTTTTTGTGACTATAAAGGAGTACCGACTTTTATCGTATATCGATGAAAAATTTTGGTAAAAGCATGAAAATATAAAGTATTAAGAAACTGCTTTCAGAATATTTACTTCGCTTGACAGTGAGAAGTAAAATAATTTATTAAGCGTTCGAGAAGCTGTGGAAGATTTTAGTTTGATATAGGTTGAAGTTAAACTTGAAGTTGGTTTTCTTCATTTACTTACATAGGTTTTGCTTTTTATAAATATACTAAGTGACATATAAATCCGAACACCCAGTTTAAATGGTTTTATTTTAATAAAAATTTATATAAGTACTTAATGAAGCATAATAAGTAAATGATAAAAATTTCAAAATGATTGCACTGCTTTAAAGCCCTTTGACCTTTAATAATGTGTGGGTGCACCCTGATGTGCTACGCATTCTCCAACGCGCCTAGGCATGCTTCTGATCAGGTGGTCAATGTCCTCCTGTGGTATCTCATTCCAGGCAACTACCAGCTCCTCTCGAAGTGCTTCTAGAGTCTGAGGAGGACGTTGCAAATTGAGCAATCTCCTACCCATCATACCCCACACGTGCTCAATTGGGGATAAGTCGCGAGATCTTGGTGGCCATGGTAACAATGTGACATCATTATGTTGAGAGAAGTCTATTGTGACTCTTGCAACATGTGGTCGGGCATTATCTTGTTGGAAAGTTGGATCTGCCAGGGTGTCAAGATAGGGTAAAAGATGGGGTTCTAGAACTTCGTGGATATAACGTTGCGCGTTCATGTTACCTCTGATGAAGATTAAAGGTGACCTGGAACCATAAGCTATAGCACCCCAAACCATAACTCCAACAGTGTGATGAACATGTCTTTCAACAAAAAACTGTGGATTCCTCCTTTCACCACGTCGCCTTCTAACCCTGGCACGACCACCGTGCATGCCTAAACAAAATCGAGACTCGTCACTAAAGACAATACTGTTCCATTCCTGATCCCAGAGTGACCGTTGTCTGCACCACTCAAGGCGATTACGTCGGTGTTCTCGAGTTAAGGGGAGGACCCAGTGTGGCCGGTATGAAAACAAGCCAAAACTTCTCATTTGTCGGTAAACACTTCGCATGCCAATAGGTCTTCCGTGTTCTGCAAACCATTCATTTGTAATGGACCTGGTAGTGGATAAACGGTCCCTTAAGGCCAATAATCTCAGGCTGCGATCTTAACGGTCTGTTGTTCTACGGCGGCGTCCAGTGCCCCTTGCTCTTTGCGTACGGCCTTCTCGAAGCCATGCCTGACAACACCTAACCACAGTGTCTACACTTCTTTGCACTCTAACTGCAATTGCCCGAAAAGAAAGTCCAGCTTCCCGGAGTCCCACTATACGGCCCCTATCAAACTCACTAAGTTGACGAAATCGTACAGGTCTCCGTACTCTAGGCATCGTAACCGATCGTAAAGGATGTCAAGAACCAAAATCCGCCAACGTTGATTCTTTACTGCGGCTGAAATATTCATTTTTAGAGCGTTAATGAATGTCCAACTGATAAGGCTGAAAATTTTTTCACTTGTTATTTACAGTAAGATAAATACATTCACCAACTTTTATTAAAATAAAACCATTTAAACTGGGTGTTCGGATTTATATGTCACTTAGTATATGTTTCTCTATTCAACATCAACGTGCCTGTTATTATTTGAAAAATACAAATTCAAACACAAACACAAAACCCACGCGGGTAACCTAAAGGAATGAATGTATGATTCTGCTAACAAAAATCACAATACCTTAAGCCAATTGGGCTGTAGGGCATCAAATTGAAATATTCATTTTAGTCGGACGGGACACTGAACGCTTCCGTGCATAACGCCGAAGCTGCTTTGTCTAAATACATACATATCAACGCGCGAAAAACATAACCTCCCTTCTGAGATAGTCTCGGGTAAAAGCCGAAGATCAGTTGCATCATCCTAGACAAATAGACAATCTAACAATCTATTCCAACAATTGAAAATGCAATTTTTATCCAGATATAGGATACCTGCAGCCAGTATTATGTAAGTTTCCATGACCACGCATTTTTATTTTTACCCACTCTACCCGCAGTCGAGATCTTCTCCTATTTATGGGACACCCACTAGCCATTAATTACAGAAGGTACTAATCCCCGACACGTCATGAAAGGCGCTCCCTGCAAAGTCCGCCATTCCAGCGCGCGATATCGCCGCAGTTCAAGGTCATTCCCTTCCCGGGCAGTCCCTGGAGTATCCAGACTGTGTTTCATGGCATGCAGCGTATGGGCGGTTGCGTGGGAAAAGGGGACCTAAAGGGCGATGCACCTGTTGATCCTGCTTTTGATTAATGACCAGACAACTTAGGCCGGTGAACATAGGGTTTGCCCTTACAAAATGTCAGCTATGTTGGTTATATATATATATATATATATATGCTCGTACACTGAAAAATGGCTTCAAATACGTTGACTGCTCACGCAACGAACAAGGTAGCTCCTCTGAGAGCAAAGATATAAACTATTATAACAGAAACAATCAATCGATCAAGTCAGTCAAACAAGCTCATACAATCAGTCCATAGGCATTTGACAATGCTGCGATCTAGAAGCGTCTCCCCTGCCGACAACCAGATAAAGCGCCATGGCAGCCACCACCGACTATGACCCATTGTTTAGAAAATGTTTCTCCAAGTTTTACTTCTGGAGGCACATGCTGCCAGTGCGTTACAGTGCCAAAGAGTACCCCTTATTTATACTTTTATATTTACTAAAGTCTTTATTTTTGACCACTTGCGAGTTATTCCTTTCGCAGCGCTAAGCAGCGCACAAGCGAGAGTCTGCTCAGCACCGGGTGACAATATCCCAAATTTTTTAGCGTGGGCAGAAGCTTAATAAGTTACTTGAAAAGGCTTACTCTTGTTTGATAGCGATTTTGAGAGAGTTGCGTTGAGGTCCATACGGGAGCGTATGATATTTTTTATAGAAACTGGTGGCTTTATTTTTGAGTTTTACATGTTTCCGAAAGATTGACATCCTAATCTCGTCCACCCTGTATATTGATAGGGTAGAGTAGGACTAGCGCGATAGTCAAGCACATTAGATGCTTAGCAGCAAGGAAATCGACACCGAATAGTCATTGAAGGTGACTTCCGATTTTGCAGGAACTTTTTATTGCTCCTCAAGTTTCATACTGTCAGTTTTGTACGCATTTTTTATAACATGTCTCTTTACTCTCCTATGAATCGCATATGAGTAGTCGTCAATTCGCTGAAAATCTTGCACCAACATTTTAAAGTGATTCAAGTTTCATACGAATTTTGTAAATATTTGCAAAAAGCTGAACACTAAAATTGAACAAACATTGCTATCGATTTCCATTTCCAGGACAACTCCATGTGTTATGAAACTGCGTATGAGTCTACTCCGGTATTATGAAATGTTTTGAATACTGCGTTATGCAATTGCATTGTGTGATGAATATAAAACGATAAATCCACTGCAAAATATAACCTTGTCAATTTCATGAGAAAACAAAACAATACACAGGGAAGACGTGAAATAATTACTTTTTAGAATACAAGAACAAATCAAAGAAAATCTTAAATAATTCTTACAGCGCATCCATAAAATTGGAGTCAAGTCAATTTAATTCAGTCGATAGTTACAAAAGTCCAAGTGTGGCCATTAGTACTTAACCGTGTTATGCAGAGAAATCCAAATATCACTGACGACGTAATTTGTAAAAATTTTAGAATGAGTTCATCGGTGTCAACAAGGCAAGCCACAACTGCGTCCGAGGCCTCGTCACTCGGGTTGCTAGATAACGTGGTGCTTCTCTATCATTCTAACATACGTACTGCACACTTCTAGGGCTTCTCTCTCGTACACATTACGACGTCAGTGGTATATGGATTCCTCTGTATAACGTATTAATATCTTAACCTAAGACATAGCCCAAAAGGTAATATTCAAAAGGTAATATTCAAAATGTTATCCAAGAGCAAGCGACGTACATACCACACCGACAGATCAGTAAAAGAAATAAAACAAAAATATAGAAGATGGTGTCAAATGAAGCTGGTAGGTTTGGAGAGTTTAGACATTTTAGAATTTTAAAATGTGATATGGCTTCACCCGTTCTTTTCTTTTTATAGAATATTTATTTTAAACCTGTAGCAGTTTCTGAAAACTGCTTATACTTTTGTATTTCTGGAGTCTAGATCCACTGGGATTTACCATACTAAACTTCTGAGAAAACAGCTAAAAGCTATGAGAATTTAGGTATATTTTCATCTTCTTTTTTTTGTGGTGGTGGTAGTGGTGGATGTTGTGGTGGTGGATGTTGTGGTGGTGGATGTTGTGGTGGTGGTGGTGGAGAAGCTAAGCTAGCTAGCTAGCTCACTTTTGACCGTTTTTTCCGACCCCGTAGCACTATACTTCAGCACGAGCCATCTACCAGTAACTGATATAATAAGCCAGCTCAAGTGATTAGATGTACCTATCGTAAAGACTGCACTCATGTCAGTGATATAGTCGAAGATTCGAACCCGCGAGCCCCTAGTTGACTGACTATGACATAGCTAATCCCCAAAAAACGGTGCACTGGCTATAAATTCTGCCTTCAGCTGCCAAAATCCAAGCTGATTTTGATACTCACGCAATTTCGATGAAAAAATTCACATCAAACGGTTTAGAGACGTGTAATACATCATCATCATCTGACAACGTCAAGAATACTTCAAAAATCAGATTCGCAACAATCACTGCAAAATTCATCGGAAAGTCCATGTAATCGTAAATATGGAGCAACGTCTGCCTCGATCATATTCTCGAAAATGGTAAATAAAAATTGCAACCCTACAACATGCAAAAAACAGCAAAGTTCAGTAAGTAAGCAAACCCGTTCAAATGAATTCGAGCTATATCTGATTTTGAAGCTTTTAGTCAAAATGTGATCTTGTCGTTCAAGTGGACTGTATAGAATGCCAAAGCTACAAAAGATTGGCCAAAGAAGCGGAAAATGCAGCTTCCAGCAAAAAAGAAGTTATTGATATGCTACAGAATGAAGTGAAAAAAATTGAAAATTTGTATAGGAACCTGATCGATGAATATGAAAAGCTGAGGTACCAGCATTGTTGTACTTTACAAGAGCTGAGCAGCATACGGACCACATATAAAAAGGTATTCTCCACAATTTGGCTGCACATCACTAAGTGCTTTGGAATCGCAAAGGAAAGGTATAGGAATTTTTTCAAATGGATACCTAGTTTCTCTTGCCTGGTAAAACCTGTGTGACCCCAGTTAATTAGTGGATAGGTAATTTTACTATGAAATTATGCAAAATAGCTTGTGAGAAGAACACCATCTTATACATTGTTTCTCGAATTAGGGATAGCCTAGATGCATCTGAAGAGGGTTTTCAATACCAGGCAATTTAATTACAAAGCGTTAACGACGGAGAAACGCTACACAATCATCGTACAAAGTCACTACAGAAATTCATCCTCGTTTTTTTCATGCTAATGACGATTTTGAAACGGTGAATGTAAACAGAGAGCCTTATCGCAAATGAGGATGTTTCGTGGCTCCAATTGGATAATTTGCACCTTCAAAATATCCTGTTAGAAAATTGCCGACGTTTGGGAAAAATTCATTCTCTGCTTCAGCGCTCTTTTTAGTCAGAAACTGTGGTATATGTAGTAAAACTTAAGCTTAACCTAGATATTAGTATTGAGACACTAACTAATACACGAGCAGTGGTACACTGCTATGATATGTCTAGACTGTCTAAGGTCTAAGGCATATCAACAAAAGCAAAGTGAATTGGTTGACTGATTTCTTGGACTGGCCATCTTGTTTACCAGACATTAACCCTATCGAATACCTCTGAGAATTTCATTTCTCCTTAACACGTTCGCTGCCTACTCAGGCCAGATTAACTGTTCCCAATAGCCAAATGCTTTTTTTCACCAATCAGACCAATATTGGTATATGTAATCATTTTTAGTTATTTATATTGGTATCGAATTTAAAAAAGGTGTATATTGGTAGAGAAAAAAATGTCCCCGATCGGAGCCGGCGGGATTGAAACTAGGATTATTCGGTTCACTGGCGATGACTCCGATTGGAGCCGTCGGTACATGGCGAAGGTCACCGATTGGCTCCGATCGGGGTCATCGGCAGCGAACGTGTTAAAGAAGCTCAAAAGTGCATTAGACTAAGTTAATGCCAATTTTGAGTCTGAAACATCGTACAGCCTGAGGAACTATTTAACTTTATTGGAAAATTTGATGGGTCAACCTTTATTAAGGTGACAATGTTTTATTTAGTTTCACTATAAACTTATTGGATCAATAGTTATGTATTTTACAACTGTCAACTTTTTGAACGGCCTTACAGGAAATCATTGGCCTTCCTGGGCCTTCTTAACTCAAATCGAAGTAAATAAATAATGTTGTTCTTTAGTAGCAAGGCTAGTACTTAAACATATCGATTCAGAGTACAAAAAATAATGAAAAAAAAGTTTCTTTAGTTGAGAACTTAGACTTTGCCCTGAGCTCGGATTATAATTTTAATATCGACGACCGATCAATAAAGCGAGGGCCCGCATTGACAAAATAGCAAATCTTCCTTGCCTGTTTGGACAATAAAATACTTAAATGCTTAAATATCTTACTGAAATTGATAATAGTTGTTGGGAAAAGGTATGTCTCCTCACGTGAGATTGGGTGATATTCGACTTCCTCTGAAAACGTAATTCATGGACGCCCCCCAATAAATCCATTTTGGTCACATGAGCGATTCCTGTTCCGTAATCTAATCTAAATATACCTATTAAGAATAAATAAGATACTTTCTGTTTAAGTTAGAAGAAGAGAACGACAAGTATTCCAGAGATAAGCGACAGACGGACATAGAAATCGATAAGCTCAAGGAGGAGATTGCAGAATGGAGAAATTTGTAAGTGCATTTTCATTTTATCCGCAGTCAACAGTCGCTTCCGTGTTGCTGTGGGTTGCATGATGTAAGGTCAATATCGGCATCCACGAGGATTAGGCATAACAACTATCATGTGCGGCGCAGGAATTTCTCTCAAGGGGAGGAGGAAGACCTTTTAATGTGTACATGGATGTTCATAGCTATTTTTTTCTCAGAAGGCCTAACTTGACAGCATTGCATATGAAATACAGTCAACCTACTTGATGAATTTTCAATAGGACCTCATACTTATTTCAGGCACAAACAACTTCAGACGAAACTGGACGACCTAGGCAACATAAAATCATCAGACTGTACGAAGCTCCCAAAGGAAGAAATGAAAAGCCTGGAGGACACAATCAAAGACCAGAACAGATCCTTGCGGAACCTCCTGATGAAACTGGCCGAAGATCTGCGCAACAGTCACCAGCGTTGTGCGTCCAATGACGCTAAAGGAGACACAAAGTCCAAGGAGGAATTGATCGAACAAGTCAGACAACTTGAAGCTGAAATCCAGCATTACAATGAGATAGTAGCTCAGTTGGAGGAGGAAAATAGACAGTTTAAAAATAACTTGATACAGAAGAAAAGCGATATTTCGCAAGCTCTTGGTGCTTTGAAGAGGAGTGATATGGATATTAGTAATCTATCCCAAAACATCGAAGGTAATATGACATCAGACTCTTATCCTATAATTTTCCCGCTCTGTGCTTTACTGGCCAGCAAATGGAACCAGTGCTGTGGGATTTGGCTGCCAGTGAAACATGCATGTTATGTTTGAGTGTGCAGAGACCCTAAGTCCAGGAAGTATCTTTCCAATGCCCAAAAATCAATACCTCAACAGCAGCTTACATCAGAAAATTCAGCATTGCCCATCAGTAAGAGCACAATATTCTTGGGACTGCGACCACTCCACCAGCAACCAATAGTGGTATTTGCAGCTTGTAACGTAGCTTGAAAGTTTCGCAAAGTCTACTGTCGAAAACATACCAGGAACATGCTTTCAACTACCTAGTGCTTAGATTAGAGGCATTAACAAGCATTTGAAATTTGAGCCATGTTGACTCATCAGGTTACATTTAAAAGAGGTTTTCTTTCGTCCATAAAGATACAAAGAAAATAAGTTTACAGCTCCATTCTGGCTTTTACAAGGAACAATCCTGAAACCAGTCACAACGGATTGAAATCACAAGAGCCAATTACGTAGAATTAGAACGGTTCTGGAATAATTCCTCGTGGAAGCCGGATAAGGCTCATATTTCTATGGCCCATGAAACATCAGAGTACTAGCCTTACCCCCATCATATTTTTAGGAATGGTCCAGGAGAGGGACCAACATGTAAAGGAGATTGCCATGCTTAACGAGGAGCTTCAAAATAATAAGCAGGAGCTGAAACAACTCATCAAGCTACATGACGAATTGGAGGAAGCTTTCAAAGACCAAAAGGTGACACTTGAAAAGACTAACCAAGAACTACAAGAAAAAGAAGCGCAGATGGATATCCTTCCACCAGTTGAGTTAAATGGACCAGAGGAATTGAAGCAAGAAATTGAAAGAACTAGAAGACAAGTTTTCACAAAGGAAAAACAAATACTCGATTTAAAGTCAAAGCTAGAACACATGCAAGACAACGTGAAACAGTTTCAAGAAGGATTCAGAAAAAAAGAGTTGGATATCAAAAGACGAGATGAAAAAATTGATGAGTTGCACAAGAAATTGAAGCAAGCTGATCGAAAAAGCGTGTTCAGTGAGGCATATACGGAGGAAAGTTATACTACGTCCAACACAAGTGACATTGATATTGTGAGGGAAGGACATTTGGCAGATAAATATGAGGAAACTGTACAAGAAAATAAAACTCTGAAGGACACCATAGCCAAACTAGAACAACAACTTCAAGAACAAAACAGCAATCATGAAGACATGAAAGTCAAGATGAAACACGCCTCCGATGAAAGGATAGCACAACTTGAAGCAGAGTTGAAAGAACTTAAAGATGAGAATATTGAATATGATGAAGATAACAGACATTTAAGTCAACAATTGGAAGCAATGGTAGGAGAAATCGAAATACTGCAACGTGAGCATAAACAACTGCAATCAGAAAAGGTGCAATGCATGAATGAAATTTCAAAGATGGAGAGGGAGTATGATGATGCTGTTTGTAATAAAGACCAAGCAATTAACCATCTTTCAGAGCAAATGAAGTTGGCTAAAGAGGCTCAAGATGTTATCAAAGCAGAAGCAACTGCCTTCAAGAGACATAGCGTGGAATTAGAGAGTGAGCGTGACAAGCTTTATGCAGAAAATCTGAAGCTTGCCGCAGAAGTAGAGGAACTTGAAGTTGAGCTGAACACTGCTGTGAATACAACCGATGGCAACTGTCGGTCGTTACAAGAAAAACTTGAGCGTCTAGAATGTACAGTGAAAGAAAAAGAAAACGAGTTAGATAATGCTTGTCGCGAACTAGAGAAGATCCAGAAATACTTAGAACAATGTGAGTGTAAGAAACATCAAGGCCAATCAGATGAAATAATACGCTTGACAAGTGAAAACAAAATGTTCACGGAAAAGATAAGAGCGCTGCAAGATGAGCTGGCTAGATACAAAGCTAGACTTGATAACTGTCCATGCGCCGATATCAAAAGAAACATTCCTGAAGCGTCTGGTTGCTGCGGCTTACTGAAACTTCAAGCCGAAAACACGAGACTCACTGACGATAAAGTTAAGCATGAAAAGACCGTAAAAGAGCTACAGGATGAGCTATGTCAAAAGAACTACATCATATTCTCCTTGGAAGAATGTGTCGATAAGACCAACAAGATACTAGCGGACTGTGAAAGAGAAATTAAAGAGCTCCATTGTCACAGAGAATGTTTGAAGAAAGATTTTGCGACAGTCAAAGTTGAGTTGGAGAAAAAGAATTATGAGATCGCTGCACACAAAGCCGATAAAGAAGCTCTCCAGGAACAAGTACATACCTTGATCGAGATGAATCAGCAACTAGGAAAAGACAATATGCAATACGCTAAACAAGACCAAGTGCGATGTGAGATAGAGAAGAAGATAATGTGCTTGTGCGAAGACTACAATACATTGCTGAAAGATTTCAATGCGAGAGATGAAGAGCTAGATAAGATCAAAGAACAATTTGAAGTGTTACAGAAATGTTGCAAAACACCTTTCATACACAAAGAGGAGTTCAAGAGGCTGAAAACTGCTTCGAAAGAAATTCGAACTATATTTAGCTCTCAGAGCAAAAAGACGTCTTTTCGTACTGAAGCCAAAATTCCAGAATGTACCAAATGCCTAGATGCTCTTGTAGACAATACCGGCTCTAGAAAAATAGACTGCAAGCTGCTTGAACAGAAGAATAACAGCTTGTCCACTGAGGTAATCATCATGAAAAAGTTCGTGCACGATATCCTGATCGACAACAACAACTTGAAGCAAGGTATTTTAAACTTGCTGACGACAGTGATCGACAAGTTGAAGGTTTTAGAAGGCCATGGTACCATATGCCCTTCCACAGTCGAGATAGTGGCCAGAGCCTTAACAGCTTTAGAAAAGAAGCTAAAAGAAAGTGCCAAGCCATCTTGCTGTCCAATACCAAAATGTACGTGCATGAAGGAGATATGTATGTCTTACTCGAGAAAAAGTTGTGCTGAATCTGATAGTGATCCTGATCCAAAGCCAAAATCAACAATGTGTGCTGCTCCACGAGAAATCTGTAACTGTGAAGAAGAAAGCTTAACTTGCGATTGTTCTATGGAGGATCGGCCTATGCATGAACCAGTCATGATTCGAGACCTTTGTGCTTGTGAAGTTGTTTTGTAGCTGGACTGTAGATTAATAATAAAAAATCTTCCACACTCCATTGCTTCAATAAATTACTAATACATACCGGCAAGCTTGTTAAGTCATAAATGACGTCAAGTATGTTGACTCTATACTTCCCTCGCCTTCGAAACACACATGAAAGTACGTACTTCCTTGTAGAGAAATGGCATCAAAAAGACGTAGGTTTTTAGGAACTACTATATCACTATTTGGGCTTTTCATGAACATGTGTCCGTGCACAACAGCCTCATTTCTTTGGAGCTCTGGTTTAAAACTGTTTTTCAACATTAGATAACTGATTATAATAGCTTGCTTTCGATACTTACTTACAGTACGTACTATAATATATAAATTACACTCCAAGCATAATACTTGTATATATAGATGATATCACGCCCACCTCTTATCTGCATATCGCGTTACCGCACCATCTGCTACGTGCTCTTAGAAGTCCCTCGGCTCGACTACCAAAGTTGCAATATTTTTGTAGACCCGTGGCGCACTACAAGTGCGACCGATAGGTACACTATTCGTCGCTGAAAACATTCTTCTGTTTTACGGAGAAATCTATGATGTGTGAGATCAGTAAATTATCGGGATTCCAAGCATATACCAATGTGCCCATACTTCTTGAAACTTTCAGTATTACTTTTAGCATAAGCTATGCTGCTGCGTTGTTTTTTTTGAAAGTCTTGCATAATAAAAATACGAGTGACTTCAATCCAGCATTTCATCCAAATTAATTTTCATAATATTTCGAGAGACCCTGCACGGGGAAGCCTTGATAACATCAAAGGCAAAATACCCCAGCCTGTTAAACCAAGGAGTTTCAAGAGCTTGAAAGTTGATGGAAATTTCCTCGAAGAACGTTCGGAGTTCAGGAATAATCATAAATCTTGATTAGAGCAGGTACTTCAAAGTATCGGCAACTCATACCAAAATACTGCTGAGATCGATGGAGTAGTTTCCATGTAAATTGGAGATTTATGAAATTTAGAGCTTCTGTTAAATGCATCTGAATTCTATACTATTTTACATACAAGGCGTTTGCAAAACATATAACAAAGTTTTGCTCTCTGACCATTCCGAAAAATTGCTACGTTTAAAGATACGTGGCGAATAAGGTTTTCGTAAATAACAATCTTTATTACCAAAAATTATATGTAATGTTATTTAATCTACAGAAGCTGTTCACTTCTTCACTTCGTAGACAACAAAACTTCTTCAGCAATTTTGCATTTTCCGCTAAAGTTGTGTAATCTCAGAGCTTTGTTCGTAGATAGTTTAGGAGATCGTAAAGGCCGTAAGTCAGTTACTCGTCCACCTATCCAACGGTCTATGGTGTATAAGCTGTAGTCAGCGTTTTTTGCGGTTACCGTACCATGGGCGGATCACTGCGCAGACTAAACTTCAACGCGTCTGCTTCCCTCTCCAGTACCCATAAAGTTGGTGACAGGAGACCGCTCTTTTCATTCTCTCCTCGAAATACTCCCGGGCATTGTACACTTTTATATCGAAGATTGATAACAGGACAACTCGAACTCCACGCGGATGTCAAGTCAACCATGTTTAGGAAGCAGTGGAAACACCCTGTACATTGATAGTCATGTTACGATGACACAAGTGATCATAAAAAGAGATTTGTTTAATGTGTTGCAGCTTTTATATGTCTAGGATATTACATACGTACGCCTTTATAGACCAGTAAGGATTATAAAACTCGTGAAAAATTTCTCACATAAACCGTTTTATATGAGGCGATAAAAATAAAGTCAGAAGTAATGAAATAATAACACAGTTTTCCTCACATATGTGACGCGACGGGGACATTGCAGTCTCAAACATTTTTAAATGTGCGATTCATCTAGGCTTCAAATTATTTGTCGAACGTTCACCAAACTCTCTACATCTCTCTACATTCAGAAATTGCGATACACTCTCATCCATCCCCATACACCCCGAGACTCCTCCAATTTTTTACCCCTGACAGATTTTTCACAAATCATCAGGATCTACTAAGACGTGAAGAAACGATTTTTATTTTCTAAAATTCCAGAAAGTTGGTCAAAAAATAGTATGGCAGGGAAGGATTTATTTCGCGGTTTTTTATCAAGAAATCCCGAAATTAGTTTAAGAACTCCGGAGGTAATAAGCTTGTCACGATCTACAAGCTTCAATCGGAAGATTGTACACGTTTTTTTTCAAAACTTAAGGATTGTACGAGAAAAATTTAAGTTTGAACCACAAAATATTTATAACTGTGATGAAGTATGATGTACTACAGTTCAGGATTGTCCTAAGGTATTGGCCAGTAAAAAAGCTAAGCAGGTTGGACAAGTTACTTCATCAGAGAGGGGCACTTTGTTGACAGTTTGTTTTGCAGTCAATGCAATTGGAAGCGTTATTCCACCCTTTTTTATATTCCCTCGTATCAAATATCGTTCGTTTCTGATGGCCCAGAAGGTTCATACTTTTTAAAAATTATTTTTATTTGTTTTTTGCATTAAAGTTATGTTTATTCTGATTTCAAAGATTTATATTTAGTTTCGTACTTGAATAAGTAAAGTTTTTTGTTTTATTTTTTGAGTTTTTCGAATACAAAAGTTATTATTTACATTTGTTTTTATTAAATAAGGGAGGTGGGCAACTCTCCTTCTGACTATGGGCAAGTCTCTCCTCATATGTGGGAGAGTTGCTCATGTTTTCAAAAAAATAAAAAAACTATATATTTTTTTCTGACTTATTTTTTTAAGGTTTAAATGATAAAACAAGGTTCCTAAAAATATATGCTACGAAGGCATCTAAAATTTATTGATTTATATAAATAGGAACAAACAATAATAAATTGGGAGGGGCAAGTCTCCCGGACTTCCCCTACATAAAACGTGCTGTTGTTAAGATTTATTCTAGGCTGGCTAATTTTCAACATGGATTTGACATTTTATAGTGATTTCGGCCTAAAGAGTATGCCAGATCAGGCAGAGCAAGACCCCGTTACTGCTCAGTCAGTCAAAATAAGTCACATCACTGCGAAATAGAATGGCCCACTTAAAAAAAGACTTGTTCTTGACCATAACTTTCAGGGTCGCTGTGCCAATCTGGGAGGAATCCTAACTCTTTATCCGATAATATTATTTTAAAACTTATGATGTCCTTCCATAGCTATCAATAACCCCTACTTGGGAGATTACTGGGTTCCGCAAGGGATCGGGAAATTAACTCCATTGAGACTTTTGGTGGCCAAGTTGAAAACTATCTTTGTGTAAAATTTCATCTAATTTAGTCGCAGGTCATTTTTACAAGAAATCTGCGGGGCTGTTTATAGTCCAAAGGCAGCTAGACAACTTATCTTGTGAAAGACGAAACGTGGGGCATTAAGTAGCGCTTACATGTAAACGAATGCCTGTGTAAAGCGTAAAGGTAAGTAAAATAGGAGTAACGCCTTAAATTCTGATGGATCTCTTTAAACTCAACTGTTTTCCTGCTCATAGGACTCCATGTGGTCAGACAATGGATTTCTTAAAATCCCAATATCAGTTTTTTACATATACCTTGTAAAACAGTATTATAAGGTAATATCCGTGTTGTCAGATACTTCCTGTCGTCCATAACCTCGTCCAGATACTTTAAGACTTCAAACAGATGTTTCTGCTGAATCAATACTCCTCTTTCTTTTTCATATGACCGTTTAGAATAAAAGTTTTATACAAAAGTTATAGAGTACAAAGTTTTCCATGCTATATCTTTTTGTCTCAGAAAGATGCTATTAGCAACAATGATGATCGATTTTTTCTTATCTCGAATATAGATATATAGTTTATTATATTTATTTTTAATAGCTTCAACTTTGTGCGCCAGGCATACCAAGTGCATGTAGGCAGCAATACAGGGTGTTTCAGTTTAATGTTGCATAACTTTAAGATTCGATAGAACTTTTAAAATTAATGCATAAAGTCTATATAAACATGGATCGAAAAATGCGTGGCTTCCGGAATACAGGGTTTTTTAAATTTACTTTCTAAAATAGTTTTTTTTAAATATTTCGAACAATATTTGATGTATAACAGTGAAAATTGGTATACAAGGGTTTTTTGGTACAACAAAACGAACCATGGGCATAGTTTTACTGTAGCCGCTAGAGGGCGCTCTCCACTATACCTGTAGTGTATTAAAAAGACCGAAAAATAGGTAGTTTTTAAGTGACGTTTTATGGACCGATGAGTCATGTTTCACTAGACGTGGAGTGGTAAATTTTCATAATCAACATATTTGGTCGCATGAAAATCCGCATGCAGTTCGGGAAAGAAATTTTCAGCATGAATTTAGTGTGAATGTGTGGATTGGTATCTACCGTAATCGACTATTTGGACCCTACCTTTTGCCTGCAAGGTTAAATGCTGCGACCTTCTTGGAATTTTTAAAGGTTGAACATGCAAATATGTGGGATGATGTTATGTTAGATTTAAGAAGATTGGCCTGGTTCCAGCTTGATGGTTGTCCAGCTCATTATTCGAGAATAGTTAGAAACTGGCTGGACGAAGAAAGATGGATCGGCCGTGGAGGACCAGTCGCCGGGCCTCCACGATCCCCTGACTTAAATCCATTAGATTTCTTTGTGTGGGGATTTCTAAAAGAAAAAGTGTACCAGACTCCCGTAACCACAAGAGATATGCTAATAGACAGAATTAGGAATGCATGTGATGAAATAAGGCCTTATTTGAATAATGCTATACCACGTTCGATCATTCATCAATTGGGTTTACATTTCGAGCAACTACTTTAGATTTTGTATGTTTGTCCTAACTATCCAATAGCATTTTAGTTGTAAATAATTAATTTAATTTGTTAAAAATAATGTTGGAAAATTAAACAAATTAATATTCTGTTTTTTGTGTTTATTTTGAGTTAGGAATTATTGCTGTGTTTAAAAACACAATCTAAACGATCATCTTAATTACTTGTAATGCCCAAATCGAAAATGTAAACAAAAATATTATTTTCCCATAAATAATTTAAAATGCATCGAACCTTAAAAA